TGTTATGTTCCTTTCGCAATCCCCAGTGGAGATCCCATTGCAAAGACCAAGGCGGATGAGGAGAAACAAGGGCTCTGTTTTTGCTGGGGCGGGGGAGAAATGGTGTGTCATTTGGCCAGCTCCTCCCCTCCCAACAGCTGATTACCCTTTATTGGCCGTTAGTTATTTGTTAGGGGGCTTCCCTTGATCACCTAGGGTGTGTGAAATTACTTCTTTATATCACTCCTCTCTCCCTCTGTCCCTGCTTTTCCGTTTTCTCCCCTCCCCCATGCATAAGCGCCCAGAACCGACATTGAAGTGGCACTTGGAGGGCAAGGCTGCATCTCACCACACTTTACATGACAGTCCTGGGCAAAGCAGAGGTGGGCCTCCTGCGACAGGCTCTCTCTCCTCTGGCTGCAGGGACTGGGCACTTGCCAGTTTCCCCTTTGCCTTAACTCTCCTTCCTTCTTTCTCTATCTTCCATAAGTCCATCCATCCTTCATTCCTTCTCTCTCAGTCCATCCGTCCGACCGACCGACCGACCGACCGACATCAGTCCATCCGTCCATCCAACCGACCGACCAACCGACCAACCAACTCTTCCCTCAATGGCCAACCAGACGCCTGTTGTGGGAGTGATGGACATGCCAGCCTCCAGATGCTGTTGGGCCACCCCTCCCCTCCCAATGTTTCTCTGTAGCAGCAACTCCAACTGAACGGAGGGGTTGTTGCAAGGCAACAACATCTCAAAGGGGCAACATCATTCCTAGACCTACAGTTGGGGGCGCTTTCCAGAGCCACCTTCCTGCTCAGGTTTCCTCTCCCCAAAAATCCAAAGTTCACAGGAGTTTGGAGAGGTGAAATGTGGCCCTCATGATGAGGAGTCATCCCAAGCTTTATCTTCCAGGAGTTCAAGCTTGATTGATCCAGGACCCACCTGCTTGCTTTTCTGGCACTCCAAGCTATCCGCCAAGCTCTTCCCCAGCACCGCATTTCAAACAGATCCTCCCCCCCCCATCAGCTTTCTTTACTGTTCGGCTTTCGCATTCAGAGATGGAGATGGCAAATACAAGAGTATGGATGATCTTCATCTCCAGGGACACATCCTTACACTTGATGAGCTTTTCTAATTCTTTCTCTGCTGCCCTTCTTTGTCACTTTTCCTTCCACATCTCTCTGTGGTTATGCTTTTGTCAACCAGCCCATCTGACAAACAGGACAAGGCAAGGACTTGCGTAAGGCTGAACGCCCGAGCGGCTTGTTAATCGGAACAGGTTTTCTCAGCTACAGGGTTAACCCCAGAAAGGGTGTGTGCGCTGGGAGGCTTAAAGGCAGCCGGCAGCCCCACGGGGAAGGTGCTTCCTGCCCTGGGTTCAGATCAGCTGCAGGCGGAGCCACAACGGTTCCTGCACCTCCGAGGAAGAGGACCCGGCAGAGAGTGACGGCGGCCGAGCCAGATGGCAGCGAAGCCTCCTCCGGGAGACGGCCACCATGCCCTCCTCAGCCAGGGGAAGGAGGACGAGATGGTAAGCCTTCCCCCGGGATGCCCTCTTTCCAAAATGGGAGTCCTTTCCAGGTAACTCTCCGGAGAGGCCACCCTGGCCCCCACGGAGAACGGCTGGGCTCCAGGAGCATCTTGGCTCCTCATAGGAGATGGGCCGCTCGCTTGGCAACCTCTTGCTTTCTCCTGGGGCCATTCGTTCGAGGAGCTGCCAGGAATCTAATAATAGCGTCTTGTGTCGTCAAGTCAGTTCTGACTTAGGGCAACCCTTTCCAGGGCAGAGAATAATCAGACGTTGTTCACCCTTCCCATTCCTTCTGGGCCCTCCCTGGGAGGACTGTGCAGTTTGGCAGGATGGAAGATAGGAATGGCTTTAAGAGGATGGCAGGAAAGAAGGCAGACTCGGTTGGTTCTCTCAGTTGCCTTCAGTCCCTACCAGGTGGAGATCACCCTGGACCCCTTGCCCAGCCTAGCAAGGAGGGAGGGAGGGAGGGAGGCTGCTCCATCTCAGGCGTCCCCTCCCCCCCCCCTGCCTTGCAGAGAAGTCCCAGCAGTTATTGCTGGATCCATGCTTTTGCCCTGCAGGACTCTTTCCTCAGGGGTTGGGAGTATTCTGTTCTCTTGCATCTCCTGGTGTGTTCCCATCAAGATAAGCTCCTGCAGAAGAGAATCAGAGCTTGAGGGACATGTGGCCATCCCTGTGCCTTCCAGCAACATATTCCTTTGCTCATCGGATCAGAGAAGGGCATCATGGAGACTGTTGTGAGTGGCCTTCGGAGCTCACAGGTCAAACACTGAAAGAACAAGTTTTTGTGAGCTAAGGCTTCCTCCATCAGATGCCTCTCCATTGTCCAGTTTTCACCTCTGCACTTTGAAAACTGGAATACCATCTTTTCTAGTTCCTTCACAGAACCCTTCCAAATCCTCTGTTGATTTCTTATCTGTGCTCTGCATCCGGATGGATTATTGAACCAAGGTACAGAAAATATTTAACAATTTTATTTATTTTTCATTCTCAGTATTACATTGTTATAAAATTCTTCTGCAGAAGTGGTCCCCCCCCCGCCCCACACCTATCATTCAGCTGCAGTCCTTCTTTGGCACTTTTTGCAATAAACTTCCTTGGAAACGGTTTGAAGACACAGCTAAGTTTTGACAGTAACGAGATGTCATCTGCATATCTTAAATGACTGATGCTACTCCCACCTGTTTTCACTTCTCTTTTATGTGAATGAAGTTCAACTTCCTGTACGATTTATTTTGTATATAAATTGAAAAGGTACTTGTACGTCTGATATCTTTGTCAATAGAAAATCCTTCTGTTTCTCCATATCCTTTCCTAACAGTAGCTTCTTGTTCAGAATGGATGTTCCATATCTGGGCAAGGCACTCTTGGGGCACATGCTTTTCTTTTCGAATGATCTGTGGCTCCTGATGATCCACACAATCCAAGGCTTTGCTAATCTATAACACACAAACATATTTCCTTCTATTTGGTGTGCTCCAGGAGTGAACATGCATTTATGATATGATCTCTAGTGCCTCCGTTTCCCCCTCAGTCTACCTTGAACAACTGACATTCTTCTTACTCCTTATATCATATAGATATGTATTGTAAAATCTCAAGCATCACTTTATTACTGCATAATTTAGTATCTCTTTTGTTTGGGATTGGTGTTTGTATTGAATATTTCCATTGTTTTATTTTCTGCATTTTACACATTCGTTGGCACATTTTGTTAGGATCAATTCAGGTCAGTATTTCATTGCCGGACCCCAGAAGTGTAGCCCCACTGATTCAATGGGATTTATATCAATGTTGGCATGCCATTCAACCATTGATTCTGTTGGTCTACTTTCTAATTGAATAATAGTAATTGGATACTGACGTCAGTTTCTGTAGCTTGAAATAGCCCCATCAGTATCCTATCTACTCCTCGTAATTTCTTTCTTCCAATTAGTTTGAGAGCAGCTTTCACTTCACTTTCTAAAACTGCAGGTTCTGTATGAACAAGTTCTTCTTTGATGGTATATTTTATCCTGGAATCTCTTCTGTGTAGTTATTCATTCCCATCGCTTCTATTTTATCTTCATCGGATGAGGTATGCCCCTGTTGGTCATTCAGCTTCTTCTATCTTGGTTTAAGACTATAGAAGCTTTTCCTTGCATTTCCTGGATCACGGGAGAAATCTCTTGTTTTTCCTTTTCTTGCTGTCTTCCTCTCTTTCTTTGCCAGGATTATTATAGTCTGTCCTTGCTGGAGTTAGTCTAGATTTTCCTCTTGCTGCACCCCAGCAAGGAGATGTCTTTTCATCCTTAATTCAGTAGCTCAGTTAAGAATAGTGCTATTTTCATGGCAGAAGCCTACTCTGGCTCACCCCGCAACTCCACCCTGCAAAGAATTCAAAGACGGAAATGATCTTCAGTACCTTTGCAGTGAATTCTCCGGCAAGTTCCCGTTCATCGCCCTTGAAGCTGCAGAGCTTGCAAGAGCCACAGAGAAGGACAACCAACCAAAACCATCACCAGCCTGGATCTGTCCCCCTAGGAGAAAAAAAACGTTACCATATTACAATATTTTAAACAGAAGAAGAACCGGGGCACATTGTTTTTTAAGCCAGCTGTTGCTTTCATGTGCTAAGGAATGGGAGACAACGGTTTTCCTTGTGAAGCAACCCCAGGGAGGCAAATGAAGGCACGCCTCAGCTGAGGGCAAGCTGACCTCATTCACACCTTGGCCTCCTTTATTAGCGAATCAGTGCCAATGTTTGCTTCCCTTGATGCCACTTCCTTCTTGCGTGACTCGGAGGGCACCATCCCATTTTCCAAGGAAGCCTTGGTGCCCCGGGCGCTTCTCGTGTGAGCAACTAAGCATCCTAAAGAGTGAGGCCAGGGAAACAGTGCTTCAGTTGCTCCTTCTGCAAGAGAGGCTACTGCTGACCTCATCGTTTCTGTATCTGTAAATGTCTGTTGGAACGTGGATTCTCTCAACGGCTTACTCAATGATTAATTGTGATTCTGCAAAAGAAAAGCAAATTGAGGCCTCTGTGAATCCGACACCTAAGTAGATTTACTCAGAAGTAAGTCCCACAGAGTTCAGTGGGGCTTACTCCTAAATAAATCTACTTAGAAGCTGTGCAGCTCAATTTCCTTGGGGGAAGGGAAACTCACTTTGTGCGTGTATAACTTGGATGTCTGAAATTGAATCTTCATCAGACTTGCAGGGAAGGTAGAGGAGAGTTAGTAGACGCTTTTCTGTGATTTTGGTGTCTCCAGGTGCCTGGCAGCCCATGTTTCAGAAGGTTTTCAATTAAAAAAATGAATTGGCAAATCGGTACATCAATTGCCAGGAAAAAAATCATAAATTCATAATTTGCAATTTGTCAATCGTGATGAATCACAAATCAAAACAAATCACCTTTTTAAAATCAATTCATGCCCCTCTCTCCCCACGACCCATCATGAACCAACTGGGAAACCAAAATCAATTCATGCCCCTCTCTCCCCACAACCCATCATGAACCAACTGGGAAACCAAACCGGTTTGCAGCTCAGTTTTCAGTTCGTGCCAGGGCGACTGGGTGTGCTCCCTGCTCCTATAGCGACACAGTCATCGTCACACCACTGCTGCCTCCCGGGGCGCACGGGTGCCGTGTTGAGAGGCATCGCCCGGGCTGCTTGCCAGGAAGCCCGTCACCACCTCTGTGCCTGCGCCTGCCCCCCAACTGGGCTGGGGACCTGGGGGAAGAGGGCTGCAGAGGAAGCTCTTGGAGTCCATGGGCTTCAATGTGGCATCCGTAGCCGGATCCTGAGGGCACCCTGTCTCCAGGGCAGCTCGGCTCCTTCCAACCCAGAGCAGGAGCCAAGCCTTGTTTGGAAAACGGTCCCTGGTTATGGGATGCCTGGGGGTGGTGGTGGAAATGGGCCTTCCAAGGCTGAGGAGGAACTGGAGATGCGGATGCTGGAGAAAGAGCCTGGCTGTCCTCTTTTTGGGGAGAAGAGAGACGGCCAGGCCCGGAAAGAATCGGGGTGCCAGGCTTTGGTTGCTGCTGAGGTGGGGCGGGGGAGGCACGACGGCCCCGTCCCCCACTCCCTTTCTTGACAGAGGTCCTTTCCCAGTTTCCGCCTAGTGTTGCTCCAGGACTAATCGCTGAGCGCCCTGTTGCCTTTGCTCTTAGCAAGAGGAGCAACCAGAGCTGGGGGTCGTGTGAACTCCAAGCCTTCAAGGACATACCTTGATAAGCAGACTCCACATTTGGAGGGGATGCTGACAGGTTGCCCCTTAAACGCATTGGACAGATAAAGCACCTGCTTTCACGATGTTTGGAGACGAACAGGTTGCCCCTTAAATGCATTGGACAGATAAAGCACCTGCTTTCACGCCACGGATGCTTTTTCTGACGGCGTCTATGGGGCAAGAACCTCCAATAGCTTGTGCAGCTGGTGACGAAGAGGAACATGTTTTCTTAGGATGTGTAGTTTTTAAGATCCCCATTCGAACTGGTGGCCCTAAGAAATTTCGACTGTGACCGATAAAGGGAGAGTATAAAAGCTCGTTGGCTACGCGGTGAGGCTGAGCCTCCTGAAGACTCTTGAAGGCTCTCTCTGTGCCTTTTCACAGAGGTTCAAAGGCTCGCGTGGGAACCATGCGCTCTGCTCTTTGCTGCGGCTTCCAAATCTTCACCTGGGAGGGAACCTCAGGGTTAATCTCTCGGTGACACTTCTCCTCCTTGTTGCTTCCGTTTCTCATGCCTCACCACCCCTCGCCTTTGCCCACCCCTATGCCTATGGGGCAGCGGTGGCCACAGAAGCCTGGGAAGGGGTCTCAAAGGGAACGGTTGAGTTTGGTGGGGCTTCATCCTGAAGTTTTGACATTTGAAGGATTAAAGAACCACACAGTTCCCTCGGAGGCTCCTCTTCTGGAGACGTTTTCAGGTTTTTTTTTTAAAAAAAGAAGTTTAATCAATTTGGGGGCAATTTATTTCAAAATCAACCGGTTTAAGAGGACATGTTTGTAATTCCATTATTACAACTGAATGGGAAACATGCCTTCCCTTCAGGCCACTGCACAGGGCCCATTGGGAAGAGTGGGGTGGTAGGGGAAGGGTTGAGCTGCTTGTTGGCGGGGGGGGCAGGGGAGGATGACGTTGCTCCCCGGAGGCCCCTAATTCTGAATGCTTTACAGGAAGTCTGTGTGAGCTGCTTTAGAAATGCCCATTGTGTGTGTGTGTGTGGACGCTGGGCTCTCCCGTCTGTTGTTGCCCAGGCCATAAGGGCTTCCAACCTGCCTAGGTTGGAAATGTCGACAGGTGTGACTGCACGCCAGGTGTACAAGAAGCATGTGTGAATACCTTATTCCCCCCCCCCTTGGAGAGAGAGAGAGCTTCTCTCTGCAGGGTGAATGATAAGAACACAGCAGAATTAAGCCAGAACACAGTGTGTTCTAGCTGAAGGAAGACAAGCCTTCAACCATGTCTGTCTATATGTATGCTATTTATATGTCGAACTTCTCACAACTATTAAAACTGAAGAGGAAGGTCTTTGCCTGACAAGGGAAGGACAAGAGGGAGGGGGCCAGCCTTGCTTCAGGGATGCAGCTCAGTCCCAAGCCCGGGAGCCACCACTGAGAAGGCCCTGCCTCGTGTCCCTACCAAGCGAGCTAGGGACGGTGGTGGAGAAGGGCCTCCCCAGAAGATCTTAAAAAGGCCAAGAAGACATGCCTGAGGTGATAGGATCCTTCCAATAGCCTGGATCCAAGCCATATGCTTTATAGGTAATAACCAGCGCTTTCAACTGGGCCCAGAAACACATTGGCAGTCAGTGAAGTTGTTGTAATAAGGGACTTGCATGCACCCTAAAACCAGCCCCAGTCAGCCTACCCCTCTGAACAGGAAACCTGGAGGTGCAGGCGCTTGACCCTGGTCTTCTTCACAGGAGATATTCGGCTACAGAACCCGGGGCTTCTGGAAGGCCCTGTGCCTGGCCGGGTACGTCCTCTCCTGCGGAGCCCTCTGGCTGGTGTTCTACTGGAAGCCGGAGTGGGGCGTCTGGGCGACCTGCCAGCCGTGCGACCTGGAGGAAGCCGACACCGTCCTGCTACGAACAACGGTAGGTGGCTTGCGTTTTTCCCATCGTCTCATCTGTGCTGGAAGGCAGGAAGTCGCCCCTCTTGCCTGAGCAGGTGTCTGTGCTCCCCTTCCTTAGGATGAATTTCAGAAATGCACCAAGAAGAAGGTGATCCTGCTCGACCTGTCGAAGGTCCTGGAGAGTGAAAAGCTGGACCACCTCTTCAGTGCCGACCACGAATCCGTCATCACCAGAGCCATCAGGAAGCCTGACTTGAAAGTAAGCCTTCTCTGGCCCTCAAGATGTGAAGAAGGAGCACCCAGAGGGGCCTCCAAGCTTTTTCTCCTTTGCTTCCTTTTGGGAGAAGAGGAGACCAGATCCTGCATCCTCCTGAGGCTGGAGGCGGGCCAAATGGAGCAGGTGCCACCTCTGGAAATGTCCAGGCTTCTCCTAATCTCACCTTTGTCTTGCCCATGCGCCACTCCTGTAGGTGAGGTACATCCAGGCACAGAAAATCCGCTACGTCTGGGACATCCTTGGGAAAGAGTTTGTCAGAGTCGGGTGAGTGTCTCGTCTATGATCAGGAGACTCTGAAGGGCCCAAGGTTCCCCCTTCTGGGACGTTTGTCCACTTCTCTGCATTGCCCCCCCTTTCTAGGTCGCTTGAGGACAGCAACACCTGTTCTGACATTCACCGCAAATTCGGAGATGGGCTGACGAGGAAAGAGAAGGACCTCAGGTAGGGTCCGTAGGGGAGAGCAGCCCCTACTGGTCAGTGCCTGAGATGAGGGAGGTCCCCGCAGGGTTTCTCTCCTTTCTTCCCCTTCCCTTTTCAACCTTCCTTCATTTCTCTGGAATTCTGGAAGTGGGCAAGATTGTGGGATCCCCAGGGGAACTCTGGTTCCAAACTTTATGACAACTCTTAGGCATACCAGACGCAGCTCCTCAACATGAGATGACTAAATTATGAAATCGAAGCTCTGCTCAATCCAGAGTGAAGGAGGGATTAGCCTTATTTTTAATGGGCTTTGTGATACCACAAGTAGTGAAATCCCACTGAGTATGGCATAATTGCACACAAAGGGTTACCTCTGATTGGCTGTGAGCGAGTTATGAGGAAGAAACGGGTGGCTGCTCATCTTCCCCTGGCTTTCCTGCCCCGCTCCGCCTCCCAGCCACGTTCTTGCCTTAGGCGGGTGCTTCTTCTTCTGCTGCTGCTGCTGCTGCAGAAGCATTAAGACTTGGATGTTCTGCAGGAAGGTGGTATGTGGACCGAACACCATTGAAATCGAGATCCGCCCCATCTGGAAATTGCTTTTCAAGGAGGTAACTGAGTCCTTCTTGGCAACATCCTGACTTTTGTCCTCAAAATGATTCATACCAGGATATTATTATTATTATTTGGTTATGTTGTGTAAGTCAGATCTCCTGAAGCTGGTGTCAGGCCACAGCTCCCAGTTCCAACATCCCTAGCCAGCGAGGACAGGGTCATAGGCCTTGTAGTCCCTAGATCAGAAGAGCACCAGGCGGTGGAGGGGTGTGGTTCAGTGTTATTTGCCAGCTGGAGCTTTTGGGATGAATCAAGCTGCCCCTCTGGCTATCGACATTGTTTAGTCGCTTAGTCGTGTCCGACTCTTTGTGACCCCATGGACCAGAGCACACGCCAGGCCCTCCTGTCTTCCACTGCCTTCCGGAGTTGGGTCAAAGTCATGTTGGTCCCTTCGATGACAGTCTCCAACCATCTCATCCTCTGTCGTCCCCTTCTCCTCTTGCCCTCACACTTTCCCAACATCAGGGTCTTTTCCAAGGCTATGGACTCATGTATTTAAGCAGAGGCATCTGTGTACATGTTGCTTTACACAACAGACACGTCTTGATGATGCCTGTTTTTTCTGCTGACATGAGCCTTCTGGACTACCCGCTTGGTTTGCTCTCCACCCCCTGAGGGTGGCAGCCCGGCTGGCTTCTGTACCTGGAAGGGGAGGATGCAATAGAGCATCATGGGCCCACCTTTCCGGCCCTCAGAGGGAGAACACAAAGAGAGCAGCCCTCCAGATCGAGAAGGCTCGGACCTTTGACCGTGGTTCATGAGGAGTGCAGGAGAAGGGGGGGTGGGACCCTTGTTTTGTGAATCTGGCTTCAATAGACCTGGCGGGCCGTTTTTATGCTTGTGTGCCCCAGAAGCAGTCTTGTGCGTGATACTCATATCGGCTGGTCTGTGCTGTCTTGATAGATTCTGAACCCTTTTTATGTGTTCCAAG